AGCGAGCAAAGAACATGTACATTATCATATTGTCACTGACTTCAGTGTAGCACGAGTTTAAGCACTCTCAAACTTCGGGTATAATCAATAAAGCTGCCTACACTGTGAAATTAACATCTTATTTGCATTATATGCACATCTGCACACTTTCTGAGAATTCAGTCAGCGAATGGGTGCATCTGAACAGAACACTAATCTGAACGCCTCTGAGCCCTATTGCGCATTACTGTAATATTAAAGGTTACAATTAACAACTGAGTCTGAACTATTAAATTCAATTGCTATTTATTTTTTATATAATTGATATAATGATAATTATAATAATATATAATTTATATAATTATAATAATAATTAACACTCATTTTAAAAAATTGAGGGCAAAAATGTAAATTGCACACAAAGCAGATTTACATTAACTTATAAAGATTTTTTTTAAATGGGTTATCTTTAATTGTAAAATTATGTTTCTACTCTAATTTGTTGTTGAAATATAATTGCACACAGTGACTTTCATAACTTGTATTCAGCAAAGATGCATTAATTTCTTTATAAGTGACAGTAAAGACAATGATATAAAGGTTACAGAAGATGCTATAATAATTATTATAAGACTTTTCCCCCCCCGAATTGTTAGTTATATATAAAAAGCTTGAAGGTTTTGAAGTTTAATATAATGAACATTTAACAAGTAAATAAATTAGTTAATTTTAAAGTAATTACATTTATTAAAAAAGAGAAACATTAGAATAAAGATACAGGGTGCATGTTTAGAAATTTGTATTAATAAAATAATACTTTTTTATTATTTTAAATCAATGACTTTCAAAATCCCTTACTCAAGTTATAAATTATTATAATTTTTTTTAAATTTCAGTGGTGATTGCTTGTGAAAAAACTGTCCACCATGATACTTGAGTGCTGATGGTGTTTGTCAGAGTAGCTGTGCAGTTGCTAAGGTGTTCTGAGTGGTTGTTAGCGCATTGTAGTTACTATGGTGTCTTGGGTGGTTGTTTCCTGGCCCAAGTCAAAGAGCACAGCCCCAAGTTTCTATGATTCCTGAGCCTAGATATGGCTCTGGTTCCACCTTCACTTCATAAAGTCTATAGGATTTTCTATCCCTGTCAACGTCTGCCAGGCAAGAACTGGAAGTCTGACTGTAGAAAAAAAAAAACTCCTGAATTTGAGGTTAAAAATGTTGCATGATGGCTTCAATATACCATACTTTAGTGTTGACTTGGAAGGAAAGTACCAAACATGTGCACAAGGTCCGACTGAATTAAACCCCACTGACAGGCGCAGGTGCTGCATTTGCCCGTCTTCCTAAAGCCTGTGTCTGCTGAAAAGCGGTTTGTTAAGTCTCAGCAGGATTCGTCTTATTGAGCATCACCCCCATAACCTGACTTTGTGTGTGGGTTTAAGTAGGGGACTAGCTAATGGATTAGGCTGATCACTGCGGCCGGCGAGAACGCATGCGCTAGATACTAATGAGCTTCAAGGACACGTGCCATTTCCTCCTTATTACCTTCTGCTTGTGACTCATTGCGAGGCTGATACATAGGAGAGAGAGCGTGCTCACACTGGGCCGTACTTCATACTAGGAGTTGATTAGTTAATTTGAATTCGTTTCAGAGTGCGTGCGTGTGGACGTGGCAGGAAACAAATGGCACATTTTCATTCCTCTGCTGCGTGGCACCCAGACAGGTCAAACAGTCCCAGAGTACAATGAATGGAGCTTAAAATAGTTTATGCTTTCTCTTACACACAATTCTAAAATAAGAAAGAAGTGGAGATCGCTGCCTCTTGTGTTTGATGTCCCACTCTATGCTCGAAACTAGGGATCGACCGATACGTGTTTGTCAAGGCCGATACCGATACCGATTATTACAGATCAAGTAGACCGATAACCGATATTTTGAACCAATATATATGTCTGGTGTAAAAATGAAAATTAATGTCAAAATTAAGAATAACAAGGGCTCTGACAAAAACTGCCTTCCCTGGTGTAGGTTGAGTGTACCACAGTAAACTCTTTATTTTTGGCAAACAAAGGGTTTACTATTAACATTAAAACATGGAAGAAATAGTGTATTGTGTGATTATTCTTTTAAACAAAAGTTGTAAAAATTGTTGTAGTAGTCAGCGGTTAAAGCAAAAAAAAAAAAAAAACATTTGACTGAAAACGTCACACCCAGTTTAAGAGCAGTGTTTTTCTTGTAATCAGGAGCGCTTGTCCTCCTAATTAAAAAAATGAAGGAGCACTTTCTGAACAATTATCAAAAATTCTGATAAAAAATTTGCCTTCCTAATACGAGGTGACATGTGACTCCTTTAAGTGACTTACAGGGGTATTTTCTTTTTACCTTTGCAATGGCATCCTTTTCATCTGTCAAATTCAAAATTTATGTTTATAAGCTTTTTAAAATTTCTATTAAAACCAAAATAAGAAGTAGAATAAGACAAATAAGTTACCACTCATATGAAATTAGTATTAATAAAAAATGTATTTGTACTACAGAAGGTGCACAGAAGAACACAAAAGTGGCTTGTAGGTAGGTTTTCAGACGTTTAATGAGGCTCAGAGGTAATTAAATTCATAAATTCATGTGGAGATTGTTTTAAATAAAATTTTAAATACAGAAATATTAAATGATTTAAATAACTGAAATTATACCTAAAAATGAAACGAATCACACCAGCAGGTGGCGGCAAGTCACTGATTTTATCACTGAATCATTCATACACCACGCTGTGTTTGCTTTTAGAGATGCGCAGCGGCTGAGCTGTTACTATATTTGGAACTATTTTCGTTGATGAAACCGAGCAAAATTAGGCAGTAACCTACTTGTTTATTGAACGACAGAAGCTGAAATCAGCGCGAGCGTCGCACACTTTGTATGTGTAGAAAACAAAACCGCGCATCTGTGCCATTTACATACACAGAGACACACAGAACATGCTGGATTCATATTTAAATAGTATTTTTGTGGCTGAAAATTTACAGATACTAGTCCATATTGCGACTCTATTTAAGTGTACTGACCTACTTTTGATTACTTCATACATGCTTTGACAAATTCCGTGACGTTCCGCGTCATACAGTAAATTCCATTTATATGACTGGATTCTGCGATTCCGTCCATGTTTTCTGCATCGCGGAAATAATTGTATTGAGGTGTTTTGCAACTTCAGTGTAACGTTAGTGGATTGTGATTTATTGCAACTTAAGCAACGTCTGCTGCTTCCTTACCTTTGAGAGACAACTGATGCGTGATCACTGAAGCAGCTCCAGTTAGCAAGCGCTTTCGGAGTGAGAGTGAATTCCGCTTTGATTGGTCGGACTCGTGACTCCCAACAAATCAGATGGGCAGTGGGCGGAGATTGCTTTAGGCCACAGAGTGATGACTTCTGACAGGCTGCATCAGAGCCAAATAGCGCATTTCAAAATTAAGTTATTTTATCGGCGAATCGGTTTTGAAAATTACCGATAATCATAAAAATGCTTAATATCGGCGCCGATAATCGGTCGACCCCTACTCGAAACCACGACTGACCCTGAGAAGACAATAGTTTTCTGAACGGCCTAACTATTATAGCCTATATTAAGTACCAGGGCACAAATTAGTCATTGGAAATACTTTGTGTTTTTATTGTTCTTCCCCTGTAAAGTTATGCATGTGTAAATTCAGCAGTGTAATTAAGTCAAGCCTAAAGGATGTCCATGACACTGTGGGTGTAAGGTTAAAAATGACCTCATGAGCAATGGAATGAGATAATGCTAATGCGATGCTCAGGTTTGGAAACAACAATTAAATGGTTCTCCACAAACTTTATATAGCACTTTTTTATTTCACTTTTTTGCAGGGTTATTTATAGGGAACATACACTGCTGTTCAAACGTTTGAGGTCAGTAAGATATTGGTTTTGAAGAAAAAGGATTTCTTAACCAACTCCTTAGGATTGTTAAAAATATTGCTATTGATAAAAAGTGAGAAGTGTATTTCAAATAAATGCTATACTTTTGAACTTTCTATTCATCCAAGTCCATAAAAACCTGTAGCATGTTTTCCACAAAAATATTATGCAGCACAACTGTTTTCAACATAATAATCAGCATATTAAAATGATTCCTGGAGAATAATGTGACACTGAAGTAATGATACATTGCCGTTATCTAGTTAAATCTTGTACTTAAATTGTGAGGAGGTAAATATTTCACAGTTTGAAATATACATGCTTGCATGCAGCCATTGTGGCGATTTTGAGCGAGTGGTTGTTAGGGCTGTCGAAATGAATCGTTTCAACGATGCATCGCGATGCAGACGAGGACGATTCGGTATCAGTTCAGTAATAGACCATAACCGGTTATAACGTACTGACGCTTTTCTGATGTCATTTGTCGTGGTAGCATACATTAGGCACGTTGGGCTTGAAGCGTCGCTGCGTAGAATGATCAGTGTATGGCATCAAGTACCGCGAGAGCGATAAGAGAGCAGACAGTTCCTTATGCTTTCGAATCTCTCTCACGGTTTGTCATACACTGATCATTCTAGGCAGCGCTGCTTCAAATCGAACTCGCGTAATGGTGGAGGGAGGCGAGACGCGAGTAATTAAAAATGCTCCAACTACTTTAAAAGCCGACATCTGGGCAAATTTCGGCTTTTATGAACAACCTGGTAAGCACGACTTGGAGAAGACGCACGCTGTGAGTAAATCATGTCACGCACAATTAAATATGCAGGGGTTAATAGCCTACCACTAACTTGAAAAACCAGGTCAGGTATAGTTCATATATCTGACTGCTTGTATTTATTGACAAAACTGTATACACTTGAAGTCAAATTGAAAATTGAGGATGCAGTGCATCGTCGATGCATCGTGATATCGAATTGATGACATGATAATCGTGAACGAACCGAACCGTGAGACCAGTGTAGGTTCACACCCCTAGTGGTTGTTAATGGTGAAATTGAATTATTGACTGAATTCTTTGTGGTTTCAGGAGCAAGCAGTGCCTCCCCTGTAGTGTGGATGAGGGAGTCATGGATGACCACACCTCCCCACTGGAGTCCGACCAGTTGCTCAGCCAAGACATCCCAATGCTCACCTCCCCGCTGCACCCGCCCAACATCGTCAACGGAGAGGGACCACAACAGGTAGGATAAATCAGCATCGCTTCTTCATGCTCACTTGTGTGTTCTCTGTCAAGTCTATAAGCTATGTTCTGCAGAAAAAGCTATTTTCTACCTAGTAGACTGCTGAAGTTCTGCTGAAATAATTTCTCATGGCAAACTCACTTATGTGGTTCTGTTGAACCCAGGAGAGCAAGCTGAGCCAGGTCTGTCTGTTGATAATAATGATCGTCATCATATTATGAGAAAGAGTGGGCAATATAGTTAATGTTGATGTATATCAATATTAATATATTTTAGATTTTGTACTAAAACATTTTAAATCATGCAAAATGGCATGCTGGTGTTTTGTGCCCTGATAATTTGGAGTTGTGACACTTACACTACTCACTTTCTCGAAAATAACTTATGTAGTCTATTTGCCACATTTTCTGCTGAGGTCAGACACTTTCTCTAGGGATGCTCAGTAGGGATGTAACGATTACCGATAAATCGTGCTAAAATACCCCACGGTTAGTATTACCGTTTCGTATTTTAATTATCACTATAACTGTATTCGATTACCGCGATTTGAACAACTCAGAATAAATAAATACTGTACTGCACAGGGCTCCAGTGTGTGACCAAATGGGCACATTTTGCGATAATTTTTTCTGTCGGTGCGACTAAATTTTGTGCGCGGTCACACTGGTGCAACCTCCGCATTGTTTAACTCATAAGCGCTGCATTTCTGTTGCATATGAGAAACATGAAATGGCAAACAAATCTGAAAGCATAATGAAACCTCGCGACTCGTTTGAGCGGCGCAGCGCTTCGAGTGTAGAGCCTGGTTTATATTCGCCGCGTCAGCAGGACGAGCTGCGTGCAGCAAAAATTACGCGAATATTGAGGAAACGATGGATGGGTTTCATGCTAAAGTAAAGTAAAAGACCACTTCTTAAACCAAAGGTGAACATGTTGGTATTCTTTGAAAAAAAACATGCAAGCACTGTCACCGACAGCAAGTTAAGTTCTACTTTTCTTTTTGTTTTCATTTTGAAAAGCTTGTTACCTTTGCTGTTTACCTCACGTTATGCTATGGAGGCTTTCTTTTATTTATTTATTTATTTGATTCCTCAGTGTTTGCTAAACCTTCTGTAATTTATTAGTCGGTATATAATATAGCATGTGGTGTATGCCATGCCTCGTCTTATTCGTTTTTGTTAATAAACGTTTTGTAAGCTAGTTTGTCATTGTATCTTACTGTTTTATTGTTGTTATTCTTTTTAATTAAGAATAACAATGAATCCATCTTTTGTTTTAGTCTTAAATAGTGAAAGGTGTGTAGATGTATGTAAGCAAATCAGACAATTACTGTATCTTTGCTTGTAAAATGTGACACCAAGATTGCGAATTCGAAAGTGAATTTGGCTTATAACATAGCAAAAATTTCAATCCTAATTAATACTGATGAAAAAGAAGGGGTTGAATGTTAACCACTTTCATTTTCACATAGCTATAAACTATGATAAGTTCATCAGCATGCATTGATTAATCCCAAAAAATTAAAATATTGCAAACAAATCATGTGCTCCTGTGACCAACTGAGAAAGTTAGTCGCAAAAGAGCGACCAGTAGGAAGAATGAGTCTGGAGCCCTGAAGCATAAAACACCGTTTTAAGTAAAAGTAAAAGAGTGGTTTAGTTTTGTGTGAAAACATGGAGGAAAATCTGGGAGGTTTTAAAGAGTGCTAAGGGAATTATACAAATGAATATATGGATGAATTAATTTATATGAATGTACCTCTGAAGATTCTGACTGTCTTCAGAAAAGATTTGATGGCATTTTGTTTTTGTCTTCGCTCCATGTAATACCTAATAAAGTAGTGTTTTAAGCGCAATGCTGTTTTGTCCTCGGAGGTTACGGGAAACGGCTCTAATTCTACTGTTCCAAAAGCGCCACCTAGTGTCAGGGAGTGGATTTACAGAGAGTTACATTTACATTCAGCCTGTTTTTGTCTGGGCCAAAAAATGGACCGAATTTGCATGTAAATTTTGACTGGTTGATGAAAAACAAGCTTATGTGGATTCTACACATTTAAACAATAAGGTATCTAGTATTACTTATAGAGCAGATAAAATACATATAATCACTTATTAATCAATTATCATTTTGACTTAACACTTTTATTTATTTAAAACCTGAAATGTGAGGTTTACCATTTCTGAAACTTTTTCAAAGCTTTATTTTAACATTTACATTAGATATTTGAACATGCTATTAGGTAAACTGTTGTCAGTCATGTTGTAATTTAAAATCCATGATAAAATTAAGCAAAAAATACATGAGCCTCTTTTAGGGATGCAGCGATTAACCGAATTTTATACATTAGTAATGTTGGGAAGTGAATAAATGCATAATAATCGTCATAATCGTAAAACCGTGATTATTCCTCAGACAATAATCGTACCAACAAAATCTATAATCGTTGCATCCCTAGCCTCTTTTAAGACTTCAGAATTACTTTTGTGGTAGATTCAGCTTCGATAGTCAAGAAACTAAGTAATTATTCAAATAAATTTCATCCTAATTAAATGCAGCATGGAGGACTATTGGCAAAAACAGATTCAGCAGTTTAGAAAGAAGTGTGAGAGGCATTTTTGATGTCCACAGCATTACAGTATCCATTGGATGGGAGTAATATAGTAATAAAGCAGATTACAAGATGAAGAATTATTCAAACAGATTTATTAAACAACTCCCGACCAAACAGCATAGCACCGGTTTAATACACACTTGCTTTTTCTACACACTTTTTAAGTCTCCTGGCGTTAGCTTCTGCTGTTACCTAATATTACATGTGTTCCTCTCATTATCTCCTAATGTTACATAAATTGTCAACTAATCAGTAATATTACCAGCACCAAACAAAATAAAAAGGGAAGGAATATAATTTGAATAAAAATATTTAAATATACAGTGTTTAGTTTTTATGATCAATTCATACAATTATAAGCATGTTACTACAACTACTACTACTACTAATACAAATGGCAAAAGAATAAATACCTGAAACTGACACCTGGGTTTCCCAAATGGTCAGGGAACTGCAGAGGATTTGTGAGTTGATGAAAAGCTAATTAAATCCTAAAAATTTAAATAAATAAATATGGTGGCAAAATTGATTTAAGTAAAATGGAATTAGTCTGAATTTAGTCTAAATTGTTTTTCGATTAATTGCTCAGCCCTATGATGCGCTGTGTTTCACGGTGAATAGGGATGTAACAATTCCCTCAACTCATGATTCATTTCAGTAAATTTGATTAGGCTATTGCTGCACGTTTCTTTGTGAAATTGAAATATAACAAAACTAAATTTGATTTTTAAAACAAACCCCAAATCAAACAAGTAAGTTACACAAATAAAAGAAATGTCTTAATATGAACAAACTATGGCTTTGTCTGTGCTCTTTCCACTTAAAATTAGAGGCAACCACTGGATTTTGATCATGATCCAAACAAAGATGCAGCATACATGCAGCATGAGTAGTTTTTAATCTAAATTAGAGTATAATTTTGAAATTTGAAGCAAAAACAGAATGGTCTGACTTTAGTTTTGTGAAAATATACTTCATAAAACATATCTGAACGAAACAGCAGATGAGCTGAATGAGATGCAGATTCACTCTTTGACAGCAGGTGGCGCTGATGAACAGCAATGATACAGTGTTTACTGTAAACAAAGCAGAGCTGCGTAGGGATGGGCGATACCTAGGGCTGGACGATATGGCCAAAATTTATATCACAATATATTTCTTAATTTTGGTCGATACGATATAATTCCGATATCGATATGAACACTATTAAAAAAGCCTCATAAAAACAGCCAAGAACGGCCACAACAGATGTCTGTACCTACAAACTTATGAAAAATTTATTGAAACCTACGAAAGAAATGAACGAAACCTATGAAACCTACTCCTATAAAACTATATAATATTTTAGGAAAAAAATGTCGCAAATAAATAAATGTTCACCTTTTATTGGTATTTAGAAATGTGAAATCACTGTCAAATAGATCTCAGACTCTCCTTATTAATATTAATATTTCTTACTTCAAACTATAGGCTAACATACCTGTCAAAAGTTTTTGAACAGTAAGATTTTTTTATGTTTTTTT